GCGACGTGCTCCAGACAGAGTAGAGCATCCTGCCAAGTAGGCTCAGAATGTAGCCGCCGAGAGTCTGGTCGGGATCGTGTGCGACAGGTGGCGCGCCATCGAGAGCGCTCGTCGCTCTTGCCAGCCTTGTCCCCACCACGCCGCTTCCACGTCGGCCTCCACGTGCAGCGGAGGCGGAGGAAGAAGAAGACGACGTGAACGACGGCGATGGCCACAAATCACCTACCCCCCCCCCTCCTCCTCCTCCGCTTCCTCCTCCTCCATAACCACCCGCATTGCTCTGGAACTTCCAAAACGAACCGAAAGGTGATGCCGCGGAGTCATGGCTGTACTCAAACTGCGACATCTTGCCACGTCAATCGTCGGTCCCGCCACGTGGTCCGCCAACGACACCACGTGTCACGCCACGTGTCACACTGTGACGGTGCCCGCCTCCCCAACAAAAAACAATGCATGCACGTCCACGACCACAAATCACGTCACCTGTTTTTCTTAGCCGTCATGCACCATGCAAGCACGCGTGCCACGTGTCACGCTCACGCTACGTATGCCACACGAGACATGCAAGCTCGCGTGCCACGTGGCACACTGTCGCAATGTGTCAGGTGCCGCGGCACGGACGTCTGCCACGAGTTATGCGACGCGTGCCACGTGCGCTCCCACGAGTTATGCGACGCGTGCCACGTGCGCTCCACGTGCTAGATGTCAAAGGTACCGAAGTCTGCCACGAGTCATGCAAGCACGCGTGCAACGAGCCACTCTCTCGCCACGCGTCGGTTGCCAAGGCACACACGTCTGCCACGTGTCATCCACACAGCGTGCCACGTGTTAGACAACCCACGTGTCGCTAGGTTCCACGGCACAACACATCTGCCGCGCTGTCGCGTGACGTGTTTACTGTCCTGCAGTGAAAGAATTGCGCTTGTGCCTCTCCCACGTCTAGCGCGCAGAGTGTGCCACGACGTCTCAGGTGTCTTTTTCGTCACGTGCTTCTTGCTGTCCCTCGCCACGTGTCCCGCCAGTCTCGCTCCACGTGTCCCCCCAAAAGTCCCGCCCAGGTGTCCTGTCGCCGCCAGGTGCCCGGCCACGTGTCACGTCCAATTCCCACACACAACTCTCCAGCCACGCGTCCTGCCACGTGTCAGGTGCTCAACGAAACGGCTTCCATGATGCAAAAATCAGTAATGACGTCGACGTGTCGCCCACACCACCGCTCCTCAGCGACCGAAAGGATCCCTGCACACTCTTATCCCGGCCGTTGGGGTCGGGATTCCGTTACACTACCGGTCCCGACGTCCCCACCCGCTGCTCCCCCTCCCCCATCGCATCCTTCTTTCCCTAGACGCATTTCAGTTCCCCACAAAGACTAAAATCTACAACCGCATACCGAAGATGCATCCGACCGTCATTATGCGCTTCATTCGTCCGTTGATTCATTCGCTCGATCAGTCTAGTTCGCTGTCCTCCATGGATAACAACAGGAGGGGTTGCAGAATTCTACATACATATATATATATCGTCAAATAGAACTGCCCGGTAAACCGTAGGCAGAGAGGGAGAAGAGGACAACAAACGAGGGGCTGTGACAAACTGTTTCGTCGGAGTTTCACCGACTAATATATATATTGTCACACTGATATATACATATATGGGATATATACATATATGGCCTCAGAATTCTATATACGTATATATCGTCAAATTACATATATGGCCTCTGCTTTTGTGCAACAGTTCGAATAAGACCGAACGAGAGAAGCCAGCTGGCAGCAGTGTCCCGACAGACACGCCAGCTGGCACCACCGTCAGACATACAAGCCAGCTAGCCGTCCCGATGGGTAAGCAATCTGGCAGCTGTCTCGAGGGGTAAGCCAGGTGGTAGCCGCGATGCAACTCTCTCTCTCTCTCTCTCTCTCTCTCTCTCTCTCTCTCTAAGCCAGGTGGTAGCCGCGATGCAATTCTCTCTCTCTCTCTCTCTCTCTCTCTCTCTCTCTCTCTCTCTCTCTCTCTCTCTCTCTCTCTCTCTCTCTCTATCTTGATTTGTTTTGCTTTTTTTTTTCCTCCCCCCCTTTGATTATTTCCCCCGGGGCCCCTATAAAATTTCCATCAGTATCAGCTTGACAAATTGGGGGGCGCCCAGGTTGTCCCTACCCATTGGCTGATAACGGAAAGCGTCCTCGTCGCGACAATCACCAACACCCTGAAATGGCACGCAACCGACAAGCGAAACTGAGAGAAATGCGTCAAAAAAAAAAAAAAAAAGGCGAAGAACGGGTCAAACAGGAAACCTTCTGCAAGCCAACAACCGTGAAGTAGACACGTGTCAAAAACGCAAAACGAAAAGACACACACACACAAAGAAAGCGAAAAAAAAAAAGTGTTGGGAAAAAAAAAAGAAGAAAGCGAAAAACTCAGAGAGAGAAACAGAAACAACAACATATATATTGTCACATGATATCAGAGCGCCAAAGCGAAAAACAGAAAGAAAAAAAAAAAAAAAAAAAAAAAAAGGAAAGAAAACAAGGAAAACAAGAAAACAAGAAAAACTGAATTCGTTTTTTTAACTTCTTACAAGACTCCCCCTGTTCAGAACATCTTTTGCGTACAAGGCCCCGCCCACGTGGATGTAGGTTGAGATTAGCGGCGGCTGCCCCCACCCCACCCCCGTGTGCCATATCAATCCCCCACTTGCACACAGCCAAAAGGCAATGCCTTTTGGCTAAAAATAGATCAGGTGTGACCGTGCCCCATCGGACCACATTTATTGAGAGAGCCGAAAAAAAAAAAAAAAAAATCTGTTCTAATCAGAGCTTAATACCATCTGCTCCGTGATCCACCGGACGACTTTTCTTTTTTTTTTTCTTTTTCTTTTTTAAAAAGGGGAGAAATGTGGCATTAGTGAACCATAATTTGCCGAATGTGCCGTCTTCCCCCGAATAGAACGCCCGGTCACTGTCACTATAAATCTGTATCTGTATTCCGCCCACGTGTCGGTCTAGATACGACAGTAATGACTGGGCGTTCCATTCGAGGGAAAGACGGTAGTGGTAGTTTCCTATATATCTGTATTCCGCCCACGTGTCGGTCTAGATACGGCAATAATGAGTGGGCGTTCCATTTGGGGAAAGACGGTAGTGGTAGTGTCCATCGGTGAAATGCTATAGGGCCTCGCTCCACTGCTCACCACGCGCACAAAAGACAAAAAGAATGGCCGTGTATCTTCCCATGTTCTGGCGGAAGATTCATTCTCATCTTGCGATCTTGCAAATTCGTTGAGTAGTGAAGGCTATAGGGCCTCGCTCCACTACTCACCACGCGCACAAAAGACAAAAAAAATGGCCGTGTATCTTCCCATGTTCTGGCGGAAGATTCATTCTCATCTTGCAATCTTGCAAATTCGGTGAGTAGTGAAGGCTATAGGGCCTCGCTCCACTACTCACCACGCGCAGAAAAGACAAAAAAAATGGCCGTGTATCTTCCCATGTTCTGGCGGAAGATTCATTCTCATCTTGCAATCTTGCAAATTCGGTGAGTAGTGAAGCGAGGGCCATTAGAAGCAGAGTGGAAATGCACAAACAACAGAAAAGGGTAGAAAGACAAAAGACACCTACTCTGATCTGAAAGATCAGGATAGGATAGCATTCGGATAGGATAGGATAGCATTCGGATAGGATATAGGATAGCCATGTATCTTCACAAGTTCTAGCGGAAGATTCATTCTCATTATGCAGATTTTGGTGAGTAGTGGAGCGAGGCCCATCAAACGCCGAGTGGAAATGGACAAACAAAAGATAAAGGGTAGACAGATCAAAGACACCTACTCTGATAGGATAGGATAGCATTAGTGTAGCGGAAGGATAGGATAGCCGTGTATCTTCCCATGTTCTAGCGGAAGATTCATTCTCCGCTATCGGAAAGGAGAAGGAGAAGGATAGGAGAGGAGAGGATTAGTGTAGGAGAAGGATAGGAGAAGGAGAGCAGAAGGAGAGGACCTAGGGTAAGGGTAGGATTAGAACAGGATAGGATAAGATAGGATAAGATAGGATAAGATAGGATAAGAGAGGATAAGAGAGGATAAGAGAGGATAAAAATGGAATGAGAAAATGGAAACACCCACCACCTTGTTAATACTACATGCCATCATTAATCCTTCAATTAGCGTGAAGGATTAGATCAGGTTAACGCCAGATGGACTGGTTTCTCTGAACGTGTGTACGTGTGCATGCGTGCATGTGTGCTTTTGTATTCGCTTAAAACGCAAACCTCACAAGAAAAAAGGCCCGACTGTCACAGACTGTTTCGTTCTTTTTCCCTTTTTGTTTTCTGTTTTGTTTTGGTGTGTGTGTGTGTGTGTGTGTGTGTGTGTGTGTGTGTGTTTGTGTGTGTATGTGTGTGTGTGTATGTGTGTGTGTGTGTGTGTGTGTGTGTGTGTTTGTGTGTGTGGGCCGGGACTAGAAGAGAGCGAGAAAGGGGAGGGGTAGAGATAAA